ATTTCATGCAAAAAAATAGTCAGAATAAACAAATTCGGCAAAGTTGATGATTACAAAAGTTAGCATGCAAAAAATCAGTTGCATTTTTATACGCTAACAATGAACAATCTGAAAAGAAATTATGAAAATAATCCTATTTATGAGAGCGTCAAATAGAATAAAATATTTAAGAATAAATTAACCAAGGAGACAAAAGGTTTGCACACTAAAAACTACAAAAAAACTGCTGAAAGACATTAAAGACAAGCATAATGGGAAGCTACCCCAATGTTCATAAATTGAACCACTTAAAATGTCCACATAGCCCAGAGTGATCTACAGATTCACTGAAATTCGTATCAAATCCCAGTGGCATTTTTTGCAGAAATAGAAAAAAAGTCCTAAAATTTATATGGGATCTCATGGGACCCCAAATAGTCAAAACGATCTTGAAAAAGAACGGAATTGGAAGACTTACACATTCTAATGTTAGAACACATTACAAAGCTACAGTCATCAAAACCATGTAGCACTGGCATAAAGACAGAGCAACGAAACAGAACAGAGAGCCCAGAAGTAAATCCATGCATACTCGACCAAATGACCTCCAACGAGGATGCCAAAACGGCACAATGGGGAGAGGCTGAAAATGAATTTAAGACCTAAATATAAGGCCTAAAACTATAAAAATTCTGGGAGAAAACAGAGAGAAAGCTTCATGACTTTAGATTTGGCAATACTTTCCTGAATGTGACCCAAAAGCAGAGGCAACAAAAGCAAAAACAGACAACTGGGATGATAGCGAACTTCTGTGCATCAAATGATACAATCAGCAGAGAAAAAAGACAATCTACAAAAAGGGAGAAAATATTTGCGGACTTACACAGCTCATAAGGGATTAGAGAATGCTTACAACTTAACAACATAAAACCAAGTAACTTTATTTTTTTAAATGGGCAAAGGACTTAGACATTTCTCCAAAGAAGATACATGACCAAGAAACATATAAAAAGATGTTCAACACCATCAATCACTAGAGAAATGCAAGTCAAAACCACGAGATGCCCTATCTCCCCCATTAGGATGGCTGCTATCAAAAACCTGGAAATAAGGAGTGCCAGTGAGGACGCGGAGTAACGGGGGCCCACGTGCACCTGGCGGGAATGAAAAGTGGCACAGCCGACATGGAAAACAGTTCACACACAGAACTACCATGCGATCCCGCAACCCCACCCCTGAGTGCACACCTGGGAGCATGGAAAACAAGACCTCAGACAGCTGTGCACCTCGGTGCACTGTACTAGCACTGTTCGCAGTAGCCAAGGGCTGGAAGCAGCCCAAATACCCGTCAACAGATAAATGGATGCAGAAAATGGGATGCATACACATAACTGGTATCTCTCACTCTGAGTGATATTGGTTAAAAAAAGGAAATCCTGCCACATGCTACAACATGGATGAACCTTAAGGACATCGTGCTAAATAAAACAAGCCAGCTACAACAGACAAATACCACGTGATTCCATGTATAGGAGGAATCACGAACAGTCCAAGAGGCCGAGAGCAGGAGGGAGGTGGCCAGGGGCTGGGGGAGGAGGAAGTGGGGAGTTACTGTTTAGTGGGTAGAGAGTTTCAGTTTTACAAGATGAAAAAGTTTTGGAGATCTATTGGGTAATAACGTGAATAATGTCACAGCAGTTGCCATACACTTAAAAATGGTTAATGTAAGGGAGTACACTTTATGTTAGGTGTTTTTTACGGTTTCTTAAAAGGGGGGGCTAAATTTAAAAAGGGCAAAATAGTACCACAGCACGCAGGAGAAAAGTTTGAGGACAAGAAGAGCAGCGGGAGGATGGGGGTTGCATTTCGAGCAGTGACCTTGAACATCAAGGGGGAAACCGCAAAGTGAGGCCTCCAGGCTCCCACTTTGAACCAGCGTCGGGTTCAAGCTGTTTTCCATCCAATTCAGCCTCCGCAGTAAGCACAGTGGTGGTTACCAGGTACTCGGGGGGGGGGGGTAGAGAGGAGGAATTCTTGTTTAATGAGTACGTGGTTTCTGTTTTGCAAGTCGAAAACCATTCTGGAGATGGATGGTGGTGACGGCTGCATAAGTATGCGGATGTATTCACTCAACACCACTGAACTTCGTACTTAAAAAAAATGGTTATGATGTTAAATTTTATGTTACGTGTATTTTACCAAAATAAAAATTGTACAAAAAAAGAGAATAAGGCCTCTGGTGTGCAGGAGACCTAGTGGAACTTTTCAAAGTTTTTTCTTTAATCCTCACAGGAGGATATGTTTTTATTGATTTTAGAGATGGCAGGGGAGAGAAACATCGATGTGAGAGAGAAATAGTGACAGGCTGCCCCACATACGCGCCCAGACCGGTGCTCGAACCGGTATGCGCCCTGAGCAGGAATCCAGTCAGCAACCTCCTGGTGCACAGGACAACGCTCCAACCCACTGAGCACGTGGCCATGACTACAGTGACAAATTATTATGGGACCTCTCAAGACACCCTGAACAGGGGACTCAGTCACTTCCTCAGACCTTCCCCTAGTAACAGGAACAGCGGCGCCCCACGGTGGGTGGGGAGTCCTCCCTGACTGCGCTCCCCAGGCCTGGACTGCCTGCCCCCACACAGCCAACCCTCCCTCCAACCTGCCGGGGGCACGAGGGGCTGTGTCCCCAGGCCCAAAACGGTGTCGCTCATGCCCATGATACCAAACGTAGATTTAACTCCTGACCTAACTGCGGATTCCCTCTCCCAGAAACACAGTCTTCATCAGCCAGTCTGGGGTGTTCTGGTCAGGCAGCAGTAATCTGCCCCACGGCCCCCTCCCTTCTCCGCAGACAGAAAAGGCAGGATTAAACCCTTCCCCTCCTCTCCCCACCCCTCCCCCAAATATCCTAGACCAAGAAAAATCCTTTCTTTTCTTTTGCTAATTGCTCCCTCGCCCCACCCTTCTTCCTAGCAAAACCCCCCACTGCACACAACCCCTCAGCGCACCCTTCCAGCTGCGAGAGGGGACGCTGCCCGGTCCCCAAATCTCTGTACAGCGCCCATTCGATCTCCACGTTTACTGTTGGATTTTGTGTTTTAACGGAGCCTCCCCTTGAGGACTCGAGTGTAGTTAGAAAAGGGAGGAACAGGCAACCACCATGGCTGTCATAGTCCATCTGTTAAAACCTTTCCTCCACCCTTTTCTTTTTTCTGTATTACGGGATTTGAGCTTCTTATGACTGTTCTTCATACACCAGTTAATGGAATTCAAGTGCTTAGCGTTGAGAACACTTAGAAAGAAAGGGGGGCGCAGTTTCGTCTTCTCTGTAGCTGCAAAACACTAGACCCCGCGTTGCACCATAAAACTACCTGAAAGTGGAGCACAGACGCTCACAGAAGCATAGCACGAACCTTCCCGACATGCGGACTGTGTCTGGAAGCCTCCCTGGCCTGTCTTCTGTTTGACAAAGCCATCATTTAAGACACCCGGATTACAGCGAAACTTGCCATATATTCAGAATGGAGCCCTTAATCCCCCCAAATCCTGCAAATTGATTGGCTCTCTGAATAATCTGTATAATTTTTATGCAAAAACTCTTGTGTATTTAAATCTTAGTACCCTATTAAATCAGAAGAGGCGCTCCGGCACTTTCTCCTCCCTCCAGGCCTGAAGGCTAATAAAACCCAGGACTCCGTGGAATTCCTTATTCAAACAAAAGGTCTGACAGCCTTCCTCTCATTTAAATGAAGCCCAGCTAGAGGGATGGAGGGGGGCAGTCACAGGGGCTGCAGGAGTAGAGCAGTCTGGTCCGGCCACCAGTGACGAGAGATCAGGAGGCTGTCGTGTGAAACAGGAGTGAAACCCCAAGGGGACACCAGTCCCAGTCCCAGTCCTGGTCCACTGTTAACGGGGCAGCTGACTTTCTCCCCCGAGGCTGGGCTCCATCGCTTCACCTCCCCAACCCGCAGCTACAACCTACAGCCACCACAGCATCAGCGTGAGCAGCTCTGCATAGCTCCAACTTTACAGATCTGGTTGCCGCAATAAGCCTCTATCTCTGTGGTTTCTAGACTTATTTTTCTTTCTACGCCACAGCATTTTATAGAGTCTGTGTTGGGAACCACCCTGCCTGGTTTCAGAGACTGTAACCCCAGTGGCTAAGGGTGAGCAAAGAGACCTTGGGGCCATAATCCACTAAGGAGACAAAGCTTATCTTCTGGGTAGGAGAGAGGCCTCTGCCCCCTTTAACCTCACCCTGCTCAGCCCTGAACGCCAATGTAAGATTCCTCAAGGGAGGGACAACCTAAGACAGTCATGGGACAAAGGGGCCCTCAGGGAAGGACTTTGGGGAGCTATAGAAAAAGGGGATGATGGACTCTTGCCCATCAGCTTTGACATAGTCTGAGTCCTCATTCTATCTATAAGAAGTCTAATCTCTTGGCTGCCTTACTTCCCCTGCCTGACTTAAGCCTGAAACAATTCCAGAGGGTGGTGCAGCCCTGAGCAGGAACAGGCAGTTCCCCAGGGCAATCAGACCTAAGAAAGAATGCATAAAATCCTGCGAAACTTGCTTTGCTAAGAATGTCCTCAATTTTCTGATAAGGGTTCAAGTATAAAACGAGTTTGTTTTCCAAAGTTTTATAGCCCTTTCGCTAACTGACCCTGACTCAGAATAAACCCTCATAGTTCTTTGAATCCTTACTGCCTGACAATAATTGATGAGCTTTACCTGTATTCCTATGCAAACTGAATCCAATAAATGCCCACTGAGGAACAGGCTCCTCCTCTGAGAGATTGCCCACCTTTCCTCCCCAAGCAGATCATGTCTTGGGTAAACTTATTCTCATCGATGGCAGATGGTGGCAGGGGGGGCAGGGCAGGGGGCGGTGCGGGCAAAGCTCCCCCAGAGAGACGAGCACAGCTGAACAAGATTTCACCCTCAGGCCCTCCGGGACAGTTTGGTTGCAGGAGGCAAGGTGGGGTGGGCTGGACTGGGGGCTCTCCGGTAGTTACCAGTGTTTTCCATACAGCCAATGGCTTCCCCATGTCAGCAGGCAGACTCCAGCTGTGGTTTTCTTCCAATGACTTCGAAGCGTTTTAAAGAACACAGTCATCTTCTAAAGGCAGAAAAAGAAAAAATGACACACGTGATCGCCCAAGGCCAGCACCAGGCGTCTCTGGGACTCTTCCGCGTTCAGCCCTCCATGTTCCCTTCCCTCGCTCTGCTTCTTTCTCGGGCATCTGCTCATCTCCTCCCTTCTAGTCCCACAGCCGTGACCTTCTCACCTGCCCACCCACCTTACGAAACTCCTTTCTTCACTTCTCTGCACCCCAACTCCATGTTCCCCTCCCTCACTGTGGCGGAAGGGAGGGGGTAGAAAGGCAAGAAGGGAATTCTAGGCTTCCTATTTTTCCTTTGTTCTTACAATCACTACGCACAGATGATGGGTGCTTATTGATCTGTTGTGTGTGCATAAAAGACTCAACACCAAATTAGTAATGTAAGAGCTTATTCAAAATGGAGGAGAGCACTAGACCCTCAAGAGGAGAATAAGCAGAGAACAGGCACAGAAACGAGGAGGAAATGTACGTGGCTACGTAAAAATGTTCAGCTCCCCCCCCCCACCCCCCAGGCTGGTGTGGCTCAGTGGACTGAGCACAGGCCTATGAACCAAAAGGTCGCTGGTCTGATTCCAGTCAGGGCACCTGCCTGGGTTGTGTGCCAGGTCCCTGGTTGGGGGAGTGCAGGAGATCGATGTATCTCTCATGCATCAATGTTTCTTTCCTCTTTCTCCCTCCCTTCCCCTCCAAAAATAAAATATATTTTTTTTAAAGTTTGGCTTCCCGAGTAATCAAAGACATGCAAATTACAAAGAGCTATCGATAGTCACCTATAAAATAAAATGTTTTCAATGCTCACATTCACTGATGACAAAATGAAATGAGACAGACCCTCTCATACACTCCCACGTGGAAGGTAAATCAGCTTACCGTCTCTAAAATACGAGGGGACAGTATATATCCTCATTCTGTTTGTCTGCTTCACAGCACTCATCACTCGATGATCCTCACTTGCTAATTTGTTTACTAGCTCCTCCCACTGGGATGTAAACCCCATCAGAGTGAGGATCTGGACTGTTCTGGTCACTGCTGTGTCCCCTGTGCCTAAAATAATACCTGGCTCATAATATCTTTGCAATCAGTAACTGTTGAACGTTCAGGACATGCTACCCCAAAATATGACACCTCAGCATATTGAATATTTTAAGCAGAATGAGTCTGACCTCCTCACTATTTTACCTACTGACCTCGAACAGGTCAAAAAACCCTCATGTGAAAGATGTTCTCTTTGCTCCTAGAGGAGAGCATCCTTCTCTCCCAGGGCAAAGGGACGCCAAGGAGAATCCCAGCGGGCAGCCCCCTGCTAAGTTTCCCACTTACAACAGTTACCTCATACCTTTTATTCGATCATAGTCCTCCACTCTTCATCAAACCTAGCATAAAATACTCAGGTCGGTTTGCCTGGGTCCTCCACTTCTTTTGAAGTCTCCCATGTCACGTAAAACTTTCTCTGAATAAATGTGCGTGCTTTGCTCCTGTTAGTCTGTCTTTGTCGGGTTAGTTTCCAGGCCCAGCTTCGGACCGCAAGAGGGTCAAGTGAAACTTTTCTTCCCCTACGTTAAATGTTGCTCCCCTAAGGATTTTTGATGTGGGAAAAACTCAAAATACAATGGTAAGTAAAATCAGCAGGCTAAAAAGCCGGATATAACTGGTACTATCCTAGTTATGTCCAAACATAAATATAAATGGGAAAAACACAAACAGAAAGAAACACAAAAATGTAAGTACTTCCCTCTTGGCTGTGGGATAATGGGCGACATTCATTTTATTTATTAAATTATAATGTGTTTTCTAAGTTTTCTAAAGTGAAATCATTTTCTAAACAGATAAATATTTAAACGGAATTTTTTATGACTATGTGTGCATGCGGTAAATAAACCAATAAAAAAAAAAGCCGCTTTCACTGAAGATTCTACTTTTCTTATTACTCCCTGGAACTGCAGACAAAGGCTCACTGCTGCCCTGACTTTAATTAGGTTCCTCTGGGCTCTCTGCTGGTCTGAGCCCCACTGTGGGTTTCCCTCTGTCCTAACAGGATCCAGTTCGGTCAAGAATCCTGTCAAGTTGGTTTAGCGCGCACACACACCCACACCCACACCCACACCCACACACACACGCAACCCACCCTTGGTCTTCTGACCACCCTGCCAGACTGAGTCATTCTAACAAGAATCCCCTGCTGTACCCCTGATATTTTCTGTAAGTAATTTTTCATCCACTGATCTCCACCTGGTTCTTGGCTGTACGCCCCCACCGTCCTGGGTGGGGTCGGAGCCCAGTCATCTGCTCCTACGCCAACACACCTACTGCAGTGGTCTCTACATCCGTGGAGATAGATGCCTCTCCCTTGCCTCCTTAATAAAGTCCGCCTTACCACTCTTTAACAAGTGTCATGAAATAACTGTTTTCTTTAACACCACCATTGGTTAAAATTCCTCCCAAGGCAAGAAACGTCTTTATCACCAGCAACGGCAAGACCAGTACCAGAAAGTACAGCTTCCTGTGACCCCAGGGGCCCAGTCCAGGCTGGCAGTAATGGAACCCGAAGGCACACCTGGTAGTAGTTGGGAGGTGACACAGAGGAGCGCGGTTGTGCATGGTCAGGGAAGTCTTCCCAGGAGTGACAGTGACACTGAGTCTTGAAGAATGAGTAGGAGTTACCAAAACAGGAGCTAACGAGACTGATATGTACAAAGGCACAAAAGATGCCAAAGTGAGCTCGGGAAACACAAGGAAATAGACAAGTACAGATAAGAACGGGGTGTGTGGGGGAGTATCTAGAACAAGGCCTCTCCAATGCTAGTAAAAAAAATTGCTGAAATTCTGAGAACATACATAAAATGCAGATTCTTGAGCATCACCCTCCACGACCCTGATTCCTTCTAGCTGGGCTGTCATCGTCATTTGTAACAAGTACACCCAAGTTTCTAACTGAGGTCCGCACTACACCACACTCTGAGCAACAGTGGTCAGGAGGTGAAGGATGGGGAAGGTGGGGGAGGTCCGGAAAAGATCAGGAAGGACCTTGAATCCACACTGGAGACTTTGGATATTATGTTGAAGATTACAAAAACCTTGAAGGGATTTAAGCGAGTGAGGGATATGATTATTATATCTGAACTGTAGAAAAGATCACTTCGTAGCAGGATGGCAAACAGACTGGATGAAGCTGAGCTTAAAGCTAAAAAGAACCAGTAGGAAGTTATTACCATAACCTCTAGTCACCAAAAGGAAGGAAGAAGGAAGGAGCAATGGAGATAGAGGATGGATTTGGGAGATCTTTATAAAAGAGAATTTGGGCCCTGGCTGGTGTGGCTCAGTGGACTGAGCGCAGGCCTGGGAACCAAACTGTCACTGCTTTGATTCCTAGTCAGGGCACAGGCCTGGGCTGCAGGCCACGTTCCCAGTGGGAGGTCCACAAGAGGCAACCACACATTGATGTTTCTCTCCCTCTCTTCCTCCCTCCCTCTCTGTTTAAATATAAATAAATAAAACCTTCAAAAAGAGAGAGTAAATTTGGAAGGACCTGGTGATCCATTGATGGTAGAAGGTGAGAGAACAGGAACCAAGCCAGGTTCGTACTTGGGTGACTGGGTAATGGTTTCAATCATTAGATTTGGAGTGTTGGTTTCTGGAGAAAGGCAGTGCATGCACTTTAGGAGGCGCTAAGCTTGAGATGGTTGTAGGGCATCCAAGTAGAAATGATCAGTGAAGCAGTTTGAAGCTGGGAGAAACGGGGTAGAAGATGTAGATTTCAGAATGATACGGATGCGGGATTCTTGGCTATGAAGGAGGTTGAGTTTGAGTGCAGCTGAAATCATCCAAGGGCAGAGATGGAGAAGAATGCCAATAAGTCCGAGAACAATCTAAGAGTCCGTGTGTCTGTTTAAAGATCACCACGACCCAATGAATAATTCGTGTGTTATAAGAACAGTGAAAACACACAGGCTACCTACCCGGTGTGTTGCAAAGAGCACTGGTTCAAAGGTCCTGAGACTTAGCCTCTAGCTGCAGCTTTGCCACTCACTGGCAGTGTCCTCTGGGTAAGTCATTTAGCCTCTGCCCCTATTTCTTCATCAGTAAAAAGAGGACCCGCCACCTGCTCTGACTAACGTATTAGCCTGTAAGGATCACACCTGACAGAGCTGGGAATGCACTTCCCTCATCAGTAAAATGAAGACACACCACCTGCTTGATGAACTCATTAGGCTGCATGGATCGCAGCTGATGGGGCTGTGAACGCACGCTGTAAATTTCTCTGTAAGCATTTAAGTTGTCATTCCAATGTGCAATATTTCAGCTAACAATGTATATGCCTTCTAAGTACCCAGTGGAATTCTCTTTCCCCAATATCGCTAAAAGTCCAACTTTTATATGTTCTGATATTTCTAACCTGAAAAGCAGGGTGTTCTTTCCCCTGGAGGAATTGCCAAAATCTAATTGTATTGAACCCAGGTGAGGGTTCTCTCGCTAGACCCCAAACCCCTCGCATGCAGTTTCTGTCCACGCTCCTGTAGCAAACAGAACGTGGTAAAGCACCTGGAATGAATGAACCCAATCAATCGACCAGACACTATTCTCCCCGTTTGTCAAATAACTAAGATGAAGCCCAAAGGAATAAAATAAGGGTCACACAAGTTAGCGACAGCCCTGGGACCAGAACCCGGGACAGCTGATTCCCTCGGTGACCACAGGGACCCCGCCATCCGCAGCGGGTCCTCCCCGCGACACTGGCGCTGGGCCCTCCAGGCTCCGCCCGCACTCGCGACCCTGACGCAGGCCTCCGACCCGAGGTCCCCACGACCGAGCGCGACCCCTGCGACTCCGCTCCGCGGCTCGGGGCTCGTCGCTCACGTCTAGTCCCAGCGCCCCGCTCCCCGCTCAGGCCCCGTGGCACTCACCACCGCCGGTCCGCTCGCCGCCCCGCCTTCCTGTGTGCTCCCTCAAGCGTCCTCCGCTCCTTTCAGGGAAACGCTGCCGTCGCCCTCGGGTTCCGGCCCGGGTGCCCGCCGCTTGTGTAGGCGCCGGTGCGGTGTGCAGGGGCCGCCACCTGGGGGCTGCCTTCATTTTTCGTGCACTCATCTACCTACTCAACCTTTCATCTATCACTCAACTCTATTTTAGGGCCTAGCACTACATCAGCAAAGAGGAAAAAGGACTCGTGGACATGGACGGCAGTGAGGTAGTTGCTGGGGGGAGGGGGGCCTAAGGGGACTAAATGGTAGTGGAAAAATATATTATAAAAATTCTATTTTAAAAAATAAAATAAAAATAAGAAAAAATATCTCAATGAACAGGGCGATTTTAGGTAGTGATAAGGGCCACATAGAAAATGAAACGGGTGATATAAAGGAGGTGAGTGGGGGAGAACTATTTTAAATGAGGCAAAGTTAGGCTCCCTGGGTGAGGGGCAATTAATCTGAGACCTAAAAAGTGAGAAGGAGCAGGTCAGACAGAGATCCAGGGGAACAGCGTGCCCAGGGGATGGAACAGCCAGTGCAAATCTCTATAGCCTGAGGCAGTTTGACAGGTCAGGGGTCAGTGTGTGCGAAGCCCAGGGAGGTGAGGAGTAAGGAGTGGAATGAAGCTTCAGCAGTGGGCAAGACAGGCCATGGTGTTGAGGAGTTAGGACATTAAACCAAAAGGGATGGAAAGGTGTTGAAGGGATTCAGTCCTGGGAACAATGTGATTTGTTTACATTTTAATTTAATTTAATTTCATTGATTTTCAGAGAGAGAGAAACATCGATTTGTTGTTCCACTTATTCATGCATTTGTTGGTTGATTCTTGAATGCACCCTGACTGGAGATCAAACCCACAACTTTGACACATTGGGGTGATGCTCTAACCAACTGAGCTACCTGGCCAGGGCTTTGGTTTACATTTTTAAATATCTCTCTGGCCATATTATAGTGAAGAGATTCTAGGAAGCAAGAAAGCTACAGAAAAGCCAGGGCAGATGCTGACCAACCAACAGCACCTTCACTTCTCCATCCCCCTCCCCACCCCTACCCCCCACCCCCAACTCCACCCCAGTCAGCCCAGGCTTCCTTCTTTCCTCCTTCTGACCATTGTTCTGTCAACTCAACAATGTGCTAAGTGCGTGTCAGGATGCCCTCATACACAGCGCCCCTCAGGTTGCAAGCTTAGAGAGATCACTTGCAACCAGGTCTCCGCGTTTACAGGCTGCACCACAGCTCAGCTTCACCTTCTGCCCAGTTCACCTTCTGCTCCACCTTCTTCAAAGGTGTTGATTCTGAACACTAAACCCCGTGTGCCAAACAGAATGACCCCCTCCTTCCCCAAAGATGCCCCTCTTAATCCCTGGAACCTGCGACTACCTCACAGATGTGACTAAGTTAAGGATCTTGAGAAGTTTACCCTGCATTATCCAGGTGGGCCCAGTATAATGAGAGGGGCACTCATAAGGAGGAGACCAGAGATGAGAGCGTGGGGGGAGGGAGATGAGGAAGGAGCCATAAGCCAAGGAATGCAGGCAGGATTTAGAGTGGTGATATATTCTAAAATTGGTCGTGGGGACGGTTGCACCACTCCATGAATGTACTAAAAACCACGGAACTGGGCACTTTGAATGGGAAGATTGTCTGGCATGAGACTTATAGCTCAATAAAGCAGTTTTTAAAAAGAAAGTGATAGTCCGTCCCCGGTTTCCCTTAGATAAGATCAAAGGTGTACATGATACCTGAAACTGCTAGGACCTTTGTTCAGCGGTGAAGGGAGCCAGCCTGGGGCAAAGCCAACTCGATAAAAAAGAACCGGAGTCCGTGATGACGTCATCGAGCCCAGCGGGTCGACCCTGCCCAGAGCTTGCTCACACTCTAGGTGTCCTATTATGTGAAATAATAAAATCCTTTATTGTTAAGCCAACAGAGTCAGGGATTTCTCATCCTTGAAGATAAACTACAAGCCTACTGATGCATACAGAACACAGTGAGGACAGTGTTTTTAGAAAGATTATGTGGTTTTAAGTGTGAGGGGTGGGGAGGCAAGTAAAAATAGAAGGCAGAAAGGAGCTCCTTGACATCAATGGTATCCTTAAACTTTTCTTGTTCCTGACATCATCACCCAACTATTTCCCTGGACCTGTGCCCTGCTCAGACCCCAATTCTGTGGGTTTGTTAACAATAAAACCGAGTTAAAGGTTCAGAAAAAGTGATAAAACACTCATATCACAATGAATGAATAGCCCTAAATGTAGCATCTCAAATGAATCCTGCATGAGGGACTAGATCTTCCCGGGCAGAACTTCTACCAGAGAAAATTATCTGCAAAGTCTTTTAACATTCATTTTGGTTTAGTTACTTATTGTATGCACAGAGATGCTTCTTTAGACCACTCTGTTTACTTTGAGAAAAAATATGAAAGGAGGTTCTTAGGATATTTATGCTTAAAATCTCTTCCTTATTGTAACCTTTAATACCCACTGCATCTATTGCTGCCAGATTGGAAACATGTAAATGTGACCTTTCAAGAAAGCAGTGGGTTCCCGAGAGAAGGCGCATCCTCCACATCATAACACGGAGCCCACAGGAACCCTCCGTGATGCCCGCTCACCCTTGATCCACATGGCTGTGCCTTTTCCTAAATGTGACTTCTTTTGTTCATGGGTCATCTGGCTGGCACTTTCCAACGACCTGTTTAATGTAGGAGCGAAAAGGGACAAAGGCAGGGTCCATGTTGATTGCATGCAGCGAAGGCCCCAATATTGTTTTGCAAAACCCAGCCTGCCAGAGAGGTGGGGTCGGCAGGCAGGAACTGATGCACCGGTGGCGCCTGTTTACCCAGGGACCTCAGTGGGTGTAACACCCAGCTGAGAGTCTAAACTTCAGATTCAGCAAGAATATTATTCTTTTGGTGCAAGCATCCCTTTATTGGGTATTACCTGTTTGATACAATGGAGATAAGAAACGAACATTTTGGGTGTTTGCAAGCTGTGCTGTCCCCCAAGTCTGCTACTAGATTTCCTGACTCACATATTCTGGTGAAAGGAGGAAGAGTTACCACGGATCACGCTCGTTCAAAGACTCCCCTCAGTCTGACAGGCAGCACTCCACACTGAAAGCGCTTGTTTAACCAGCTGGAGGCACCCGTGGATTTAACATGCCATTCTTCTGCTCTGTAAGGCCAGTGCCTGGGGTATGGTGAGAACAGCGACTCTCATGGGCTGTAGTCTGTTGTCTAACTTGGGTTCTGGGGTTAGAAGCAATGGTACATAAGATACCATGACCATTTGTAAGGCCCCTGGTAAGTCCCCAGATGGTGGCTTTGGCAAGACATGTCAGGCATGGAAACTAACACCAAACTGTGAATCCTTCCTGGGTCTTGCTGTGGGCTCCATTCAACCTCCTCATCCACCCCCAGGTCCCAGGAGTATGATCAGACCTGATGGGTCTTCAGGGCTATGATGGCTTTTCATCAGCACACACAGATGTCATATCTGTCGCCTCAGACGTGTGTCCCTTCTTTGAGTGGAGGATACAGTGCACATCACAGTGTCCTTCACTGTGATGGCTTTAATGCAGTGGGCCAGCCCACAGGATGTCTTCGGCCAACGGGGCTAGTGTGGCAGTAAAAGTCCCTTGCCCTCAGTGGCTGCAAGTTTCCAGGGGACCCTGGATCAGAACAGGTGCCAAAGGTACCTTTGAGACCTAGGGCACGCAGGGATGGGCTGGTTAAGATGGGCCACTAGAAAGACTAGCAGTCCAAGAAAAGGTGGAAGATGGCAAAGAAAGGAAGTGAGAACCTTTTTAATTTTTGTGGGGAACTCTGGAGATACTGCTGTACCACTGAAATCCGGCTTTCCTACATTAGTTCTGTCTTGAACAAGGGAAGTTCCCAACAATAATTTTAAAATAAAATTATGCTCTGAGCTCTTTTTGGCAAGTATACCCAACGACTGTTTTAAAAGATTGAATCTGTGTTCAGTTCACAGCTCTCTCTGCAGAGCCCCCAGCAGGTTATCTCCATCAGCATTTCTCACGGTGCGTTTACAGAGCATCATTTCAGAGCAGAGTTAATAGTTACACACACACACACCAAACAACAGCAACAAAAATATCCAATAAATCCATGAGCATAGAAATCACTGAAAGTGTCTTTATATTAGAATTCAATAGAACCTTTGATATATAAATGAACATACGAATTTCCAAACGAGTAACACAGTGCACAGTGTTTTATGCATTTCAGTTGGAAATAAAACTTAGACTTCTTGACTGTAAGTGTTGTGGAGTCAAGGGGTATTGCAGAAATACTACCAGACTTCAAGACAAGAAACCCAGGTTCAATTTCCAGATCTTCTGCTTAGTTGTTATATCGTTGGGCAGTTGCTTAAAATGTCTGAATCTCTGTTTCTTCATGAACAGAAAATTCTCTAACCCACAGGGCTAGTCATGAAAATTAGTTATTGATGTAAAATCACCTGCTAGGTGCCAAATACATGTAAGCTCTCTGTTTAACTCCAAACCACGTGCCCCCTTTTTTAAAAAAAATGCGGCTTGTAGTGTGGCAATAGCCAGAGGAAAGGGGGAGCAAGGCCTGGGGGGGGGGCAAAGACTGGGGGGGGGATGGGACATCTGCAATAATGTCAACAATAAAGGTAAAAAAAAATTCATCATGAATTGTATGAATTACACTTAAAATGTTACCTACAGAGATGTGCCTAAAAGTTTAAAACAGGAGAAGGAGATGTGAGTTGACATTATATATACTTAATGTATATAGCAAATGCAATAACCTGCCATCCACATGACAGAAATTCTCTGGAATTCTGGTGCCCGAACCAGGGACAGAGTGACCCGAAGCCTTTACAGTACAGTTGGTGAGTACAGAATGGGATAAAGATGGCTGACCCGCTGGTAGGAGGACACCAATGTCACTGCAGCAAAACAAGACAAATAGCAACAGAAAAGGAGGGACAGT